CCCCAAAACCCCAAAACCCCATCTACTAATAATAACAGTGAATAAGTTCTAATTTATACTCATCATTTTATTGAAAGCTTTTATCTAATTAATGATATTGAGAAGATGTTTAATTTAATTTATACTAAATTTTTGATGAATTAATTTTAATTTAGTACTAGAGAATGTATTAATGAAAGTTTTATCAAATCTGTTATATAGATCCTCTTCTACAGTTTGAATGCCTGCTTCCTTTAGCACATTTAGATTTTTCCTAGATTTGTAGATATTCTTTTCTAAGTACTTTCTATTCTGGCCAAAATCTTAGAGTTAATGCCACATATTACAATTGTTAGACTACTTCTCAGATGACTTGGACTGCTCAATAGTAGATCTAATTGGCTCTTTTGTCCTGAGCCATTATATAGTCAGACTCATCTTTGATTTACTGGTGCTGAAGTATAGCTGAGAATTCTTAACTCATCTCCTCATTATCTTTAAACATATCAAAAGCGTAAATCTATCTTTAACTAATTGTTTTATTCCTTAAGATATTCAAGTTAAATAGTAACTTTAGATCTCTTTGTCTCTATTTTATGAGAATCTCTACCTCTTTTATCTTATCATTACTTTGACTGAATCTGTCGAGATTGCTCTATTCTTATCTTCAAATACTTGCTTTCTTAAATCAGTCTAAAATATAGTAACAGCGTATTAATGACCGAGTCTACTTGGATTGAAGTTATTCATAAAGCTGTTTGTATTAACTTGACTCCACTTGAAGCAATTTATTAGCTTTTTTCAATGCCTGATTTTTGTGCTCCATTACAGCGACTTTATTCCTTAAGCTGCTAATATCTCATTAAATTAAGTCAAGTATCTAAGTCAACTAGTGAATGTTCTCAAAATGATTAGATTAGAGGTGATTTTTGTTTTGAATTCTCAACAGCTTATTACTGGGTGTCTTTTAATTGAATGGAATCTCATGGAGTTTATATTTCAGATGAGATTGAGTTAGATCTCTCCTGACAGGTGTAAATGATTCCATATACTGATTCTTCCTTTCTCTTCTCACTTTTCTGCTTAGATTCTGCTTTCTGCTTAAGATGATTTTACCTAGTCATCAACTTAATTTAAACTTTAGTGAATATTTGAGTGCCTATTGAAGAAGTTTTAGTCGTTCTTTGTTTAACTCAAGCCGATGATTCTCATAGTCAAGTTATTCATATTGTTGTCTTTGTCAATTTTTAATGTAATATTTTTAGTGATAGTCATGCTAAGCCCTTTAATATTAGATTTTTGCTGTTATTGTTCTGATGATAGTTGTTGTGCTACGACAAACCCGAGGCTTCATTTTTTATTGGATGAATACGAAATAGGCAAGTTCCAAGGAAAAAATTGAATAATATTTTTTTGCTTTTGCTTAATCTAAAGCATATAATTCTGAGGATAAGACTTCCTAAGTTAATATTTAAGGAGATTATTTTTAACTTGTTTTCAGGGGAATCAAAGTAATAGAACGTTCTCTCATTGTTAGAGATATTTTGCCTGATCTATTGCTAAACCCATTTCAAGAAGACGATGAAGAAGGTTAATTTGCAAATAACAGCTAACTAGACTGTCAAAAAAAAATTAAATGCACAAAACCTATTCTTATTGGCTGGTGGTCAAGGGTGAAAGGTTGATAATAGATTTAATACTAGTACCAAGCCATAGGTAACCTCTATTGTTTGAACACAAAACCACAATAATACTGACCCATAAATTAATATGAATGTGTGCACATAAATAATACCCAACCAAAAATACGCGAATTATAATCACATAAATAATCACCAATACTACTCTAATTATAGAAATGAGGATTTTTAGCTTGTTAATTACATTGATACTCTTACTCAGTATTGTTTTCGGTCAAGATACTATAGAAAGTAATTCTTGGAGCGAAAATGAGAATGATGTGCAAGAAGAAGGAAAAAATGACAATCAAATACAAAGAAAGTTGGGGTAGCCTCGTAAATGCAAAGCTCCGTGCTTTTCCTGCTGTTGATTTTTATATCATTCATTAACAGATAAAATCTTAAATTCTAATTATTCTCTCTCACTAATTTCGTCAAATTTGCCACTTTTCCCATGCCTTGATAATAGCCTTTTCCATCTTACTTCTGCAAAGGATTGCTACAAGGATTTGTTACCCAGTAAGTGCTGGATAGAGTTCATCTTTAAATTAAGTACATTTTTAAGTCCCAACGATTTAAATTAATTTCACAAAAATCACTTCTAATTGTCCAGCTGGCACTGGCATTAGTAGTCAGTATCTACTGCTGAAATGATAAGTGGAGGAATACCAGTAGTAAGAATTGCATTAGTGAGCAAATGGACCTTCAATTTAAAGTTGACTTGAAAAACATAAAATTTGACAAGAATACATTTGAAATGCAGATATGGGGAGAGCCATCATCATTAAAATGAATAAAAATTGTTTAATTAGTAAACATCCAGTATTACAGACTTCACAAGTAATTACATAGCAATATTTATTATGTGGGGATTCGTTCATTCTACATTTGTTGCTTTGCGATTGAATTAAACATGATTTCCTCACTTTTATCGATGACTGCAGTATCATTGATTGAGTAAGACTATTACTTTAAGTTAGAATAGTTGATAAACACATGCGAAGCCACAAAAACTTGAAAACTTAATCAATTTAATAAACTGGAAAAATAACAGAGAAAAACCAATAATCAAATTTGAAATACTCGTTAAATCCATTTTAGGGGATGAACTATTCTATTAAGCCTCATTTATTAAGAACCTTTGAAGTGGTTCTACCCACAAAATTATGATTTCATGAAACCCATTAGGAGTAAAATCAGCAAAATAGAGCAAAAAATATGGTAGAGCTTCAACACTGAGGGTACGTTTACCCTAGAGAAAAATGATAGCAAAAAAGCTCTTATTATTTAAAGAGTAAATCTGCACACGATTGCATTAAATTTGAATCTTCTAGTTTCGTTTGAGGTGCATTGATAATTATATTGCATTTGTTTCAGCAATTAAAGTCCTTAAAGACCTTCAAAAAAGAGGAATAGTAACAAAATTTTTCACTAAAATTGCCAAAATGAGAGAGCCTTAATTGGTTTTTACTGAGGACAAATATTTAGAAGATGTCCCTCCCAGACCTAATTAACCTTTCTGATTTTAACTCATTATGTATAATTCAAATTCATTTGTCGACAATGCAGTATGAGATTTTACTCATAACTGATTGACGAGAATATTGAGTTAAAGTAGATGAAGAATATATGTCTTTCAGATCAGAATTCATGCTCGGCTTTACTCCTAGTTGACCATTATAGTTTGTATACAGATTTATAACTCACTGGACCCCCTACTATTGTTTTTAAGATGTGTGGAAATAATTACTATTGTGTTACTGATTTTACTGCTCACCATACTATTTCATCTATATATGATTATTTTAACATCTTTTGCCTATTATAAAGAAGCTACTCTATTGTTATTGCTAGATATGAGAATAATAATGAGAACTCCAATTCATCTCATTTTAAGTGGTCTCATTTTATTAATTGAATATACTATTTAAAGAAGTGAATCAGGTAGCTAATATGCTTCACTTTCAGCTTTCACTCATATTTAATTTCAAAGTCCTCCTCGAATTTAAGATAACTTGTTAATTTAAATGATTTTCTGAACTTTTAATTACCTTTTATAGACCTTAATAATTACCTGAGTCTTTGTTAACATTATAGTTTACAATAATACTTCTATTAATCAAATAATTGGTTTTGCATTTCAATCCCAAGTAACTTCTTCTTAGCTATTATTGCTAGCATGATTTTGAAGAATCAATCATTCATGATATTAATTCAGGATTATTAGAGCTATTACTTGAGTTTTTTTTTACTTAAGCAATTTAGAGTGTAATTAAAAGTTATCACTGTTATCCTAGAATTGTGCTAAGAATTTATCATTATCATTTTTATTAGCCAAGAGAATGTGCTTGCATTGTTTGTTTGAATTACTAATGATTGATGAAGGAGCAAGTTGAGATATTATTTGCTTAGAGTTGATCGATCTCAAATATTTTTTAATTTATAGTATATTCATAGTTTATTTAAAAGCATCATTTCACGCATCCTCATTATCTCAGCTATTCGGGGTTTTGGGGTTTTGGGGTTTTGGGG